CACCCTGCGTGGAGTTAGTCCGCAGCTCGCTCTGTGGCCAGTGGCCAGTGCGTAAGCTGGCACACATGTTCCGGATGGTCCAGAAGTCAGGCTGGTGGTCTGCTGGTTCTTAGCTCAGCTCAGGGTGCTCGGGCACGCTTCAACTTGCTGGGGAAGGGAATACGAGGATGAAAACCCAAAAGGTAGTAGCTGTTTGTCTAGAGAATTTTCTCTCTTGCTCAAATCAAAGCCTCATTTGCCATCTTAAAAGAAGTCTCCCGAGGGACCAGCAGATGGTGTAATGGTTCCGTCGCTGGACCCCCACGTGGTCTACTGCTGTTCAATCCCGGATCCAGCAGCTTAAACTTATGCCGGGTGTGTGTGCATGCATGTCCAAGATCCCAAGAAGAGGATGGAGGAGAAGGGATTGCTGGGTGGCCATCCCCACCGGGGGATGATTTCTTGCTTTCTGTCTCTCTGGCAAGCGCTCACATCCTACAGCAAAAATCTCTCTTAAAAATAAAGAGAAGCCTCCTGAGAGCTGGGAGAATATGTGTGGACATAATACTTGGAGAATAACAGCCAGTACCCGGCTTACACGAGGGGGAGCCACCGGGGAAAGGGCCAGGCTGGCTGCAGGCTGACACCCCTGCCGTGCCCCGAGGAACAGTGTGGCTCACACACGTGTGCCTCATAGATGTCACATGATCTGTGAGGAGCCTTGCACCATCAGGGCTGTGTGAACTGGGAATGGCCAGACGGGATAAATGAACTAGATAATCTGATTGGCAGATATGCATTAAACTTTTCTATTTATCATTGTACTAATATTTTCCTGATAAAGATTAGAAAATGAAAAGCTTCTTGAGACCAAAACCAGCCTGCAAGATTCCTATGACAACTTACAAGAAGTGATGAAGTTTGAAATTGATCAACTCTCCAAGAACCTCCAAAACTGCAAAAATGAAAATGAGACTCTGAAATCTGACCTGAATGTGAGTGAGGGGAGGGTATTGGCATCGGCGAGTCGCCCTGGCACCGGCCTTGCCCGAGTGTAGGGGAGAGGCTTTCCTGACCTTTCCCATGCCCACTCTGCCCACGGTCCCCGCCACAGAGAAGGCAGGTGATTGGCGGGCTGAGTGCACGTTGCTCGTTACTGAAAACCGAACACCGCGTTCTTTCAGAACTTGATGGAGCTTTTTGAAGCAGAGAAGGAACGCAATAACAGGTTGTTGCTGCAGTTTGAAGAGGATAAAGAGAACAGTTCTAAGTGAGTGCTGTTTCCTTTTCCTGTCAGTTGGCTGGACTCGCGTTTACTGCCACGTCCTGTCTTTTGTTTATTGCTAACGCCTATACAGGGTTTTATTTTAAAGCATCCCAGGGTGTTCATAACCACAGAATATGTAAGCCGCTGAGCTGTCCTGTTACTAAGTACACGTATAGGTATTAGGTACATATTACTGGGTATTGGGGTGGGAAATTGTCTGTATTTATTTTTCCAGCTGCCCTTTTTTCTTCCTGGTCTCCTAGCAGGAAGGCCAGTGTCTCCCCTGTCTCCAAGTCCTTTTCTTTCATAATCTCAGCCAGCTCTTGGCCTCAGCTAATAGACTGGGTCTCACTCTGAATTTGTTTATTCAGCGGAGACATATAGCATGCTTATCACGAGATGGGTTCTCTTCCTGGCCTGTGGTCCAGGGTGAGCACAGGCTGGAGCCTACAGCAGTGTAGAGACAGACTGTGAAGGGCTACCTCTCCCTCAGACGTGGGGGCAGCGACACGCAGACACGGTTGTGGGACACGCTGACGTTTAGACGCACAGCAGTGAGCGGAGCGTCCTCGTCCTTGTGGGCTTCGCGGCCTGGCCCACTGAGACGGGGAAGAGAAGTACCGTAAGCTTCGTGACCCACTAGGACGCGTAAACCGTGGAGAACCAGTCATGGCACAGAGCCCGGTTCTCATTCGACAGTTTTTGGAGTACTGGGCTTTAATTCCCGATCTCCCCTTGACTGTAATGTGTAACACCAAGGATCCGACCCATAAAGTCCATCTTTACTGTGTATAACCTGTCCCGTGCTGACAGGCCCAGCTCCTGTGTCTGCTGAATGACTCAGGGGTAAAACGTCTTTCTTTGTTCCAGGGAAATCGTGCAAGTCCTTGAGGCCGTGCGTGAGGAGAAGCAGCGAGAGATGGCCAAGTGTGAGCAGCAGGTAAACGCCCTGTTGCTCCAACTCCAGGCTTTCGCGTTATAGCTTACACTACTCAGGTCTAGAGGCTTATTACCAAACTGTTTCACCTTTCTGATGTTGGAAATCGGTCATGAAAAGATGAAGGGCCGGCCCCATGGTGCCATGGTTAAGCTCTGTGTAGACGGAATCAGATCCCATATGGCTGACCGTGGTTCAAATCCTAGCCCTGGTGGGTTGAGAGATGCTGGGCGTGTGTGTGCCTGTGCCCAAGATGCTGACATGCTGGGCGTGTGTGTACCTGTGCCCACGATGCTGACATGCTGGGCGTGTGTGTACCTGTGCCCAAGATGCTGACATGCTGGGCGTGTGTGTACCTGTGCCCAGGGTGCTGACATGCTGGGCGTGTGTGTGCCTGTGCCCAAGATGCTGACATGCTGGGCGTGTGTGTGCCTGTGCCCAGGGTGCTCCCATGCGCGGACGGAATGGGGATGTTGGAAATCGGTCATGAAAAGATGAAGGGCCGGCCCCATGGTGCCATGGTTAAGCTCTGTGTAGACGGAATCAGATCCCATATGGCTGACCGTGGTTCAAATCCTAGCCCTGGTGGGTTGAGAGATGCTGGGCGTGTGTGTGCCTGTGCCCAAGATGCTGACATGCTGGGCGTGTGTGTACCTGTGACCACGATGCTGACATGCTGGGCGTGTGTGTACCTGTGCCCAAGCTGCTGACATGCTGGGCGTGTGTGTCCCTGTGCCCAGGATGCTGACATGCTGGGCGTGTGTATACCTGTGCCCAGGGTGCTGACATGCTGGGCGTGTGTGTGCCTGTGCCCAGGGTGCTGCCATGCTGGGCGTGTGTGTGCCTGTGCCCAGGGTGTGCCGGGGGGAAGGAGGAATGGGGAGGGCGCTCCCTCCCCCTCTCTAGCACACATGCCCACTCTCATTTAATAAAAGGAACTTTCGGCCGGCTCTGCTATTTTCTAGCTCTTGTTTTCATAACTCGCAGGTACAGTAACCGTAATTCGTTGGTAGCTTCCTGGTAGAGAACGTCAAATCCTGGTCTTTCAACCCAGCTTATCATTTTTCAAGCCTGAACGCCTCGCATAGACACTGTAATATGAAAAGCGCATCTCAGCTCTTTTTTACTGTGTCTGTATGGTTCACTTTTTGACCTGATTCTCTCTTTTTCCTCATAGATGGCAAAAGTGCAAAAACTTGAAGAAAGCTTGCTTGCGACTGAGAAAGTGATCAGCTCTCTGGAGAAGTCTAGAGATTCCGACAAGGTAGCTCCGGGTTAGCGCCCAGGCTTCTGCCCACAGGGGACTGAGCACCCGCATTTCCTATGCACTCAGACCTGTTCCTCTTCCACGGTTGTTAGAGAATGAGGTCTTCTACCGAAATTAGTTTTCTGAAATTAGTTTCCCGTGGGACTTGAAGCGCAGACTGCCTGGTCATTGGGGATGGTGGTGTTTCTGAAGCACCTGCCCTCCCCTAGGGAGCTGCTGTTGGAGGGACCCTTTGCTGGCTCCAAGCCCATGGCATAGACCTTCACGTTTCCGGTACTGACTGCAGCTCCAGTAGCGAGAGCTAACGTGCACGTGCATGTATAAATTTACGTACATGATCCTTATAGGGATCTAGTCTCATTCATTCATAAAACCAAAGCAGATGGGACCAGCAGGTGGCCTGGTGGTTAAGGTGCTGGACACTCCCACATGGCCGACCACGGTTCTAGTCCTGGAACTGGTGGCTTGCTTTCTCACTTTCCCTCTCTCTCTTTCTCTCTCTCTGTCTGTCTCTGATCAAAATAAAATAAATGAATGAATAAATAAGAATAAATAACTAAAAAAAAAGACTGATGAAATAAAGTCGAATAAAGCCACTGAAATATAAATGGGTAATATCAAGGTAACGCGACCTAGGATGTTTCGCTACAATAAAATTGACTTCTTATGTTGCTGTTAAGAAAGGTAAGTGATCTGTCATTTAAAAATGAGGTGTTGCTCTATCCCCCCAGGAAGTTGTAGCTGACCTCATGAACCAGATCCAGGAGCTGAGGACATCTGTCTGCGAGAAGGTGGAAACTATCGACGCCCTGCAGCAAGAACTGAAGGACACACACGTAAGTCCCATCCCTAGCAGCGTGTTAAATGTGAGCACAAGATGCACTTTTCGAGAGGCTAACAGTCGCTTTTCCAGCAAGGAGGAGTGCGTGGTCAGATAAGGGTGGGAATGCCAGTGGCTGCTCAGCCGCCGTCTGTGACCTGCAGGACCTCACGTTTGACATGTGGTCTGCATCAATGAGGCGCAGCACAGGCTGCCGCAGGCCCCAGGTACCCCAGCCGGGGGCCGTGCTCTCCGTGTACCGAGGAGTGGCGATGCCGACTGAGCAGGAGGCACGCTGCTCGCTGTCTGATAGTTAAGACCGGCGTGCTGTCCCTTGGCTGCTTCAGGAGAGAAGGCCCCGTTTTTAGTTTAGAGCCGTTCATTATTTACAAAGGGAGCCTGTTCCCCCAATAGACCTCATCTACTTCCTAAAGTAGCTACCTCTCCAGTGTCTGCCCTGGCTGAGCACCGTGGGGGTCAGGCGAAGGTGCCTGTGAGTGCACGCATGCCCACATTCACGAAAGGAGGGGGAAGGGAGGAACGGGATTGTGGCGTGACCACCCACCGTGGACGGGTGCTTTCTCCTTCTCCCTTTCTGTCCCTTTGGTGAACACAGGTGCCCTCTGGTGCAGGTCTTAAAATGATAATAAAGCAGACAGCTCAGAGCATTAATGAGCAGTCGGTTGGGCGGCTGTGTCCTGACCCTCTTCCCCACAGTGCAGACACAACTCTGCCTTGGCTGAGAAAGAAGAGAGCAAAGAATTGATCAAGAGACAGGAGGCGGATATTCTGGATCTCAAAGAAACTCTGAGGCTGAGAATAATCTCTGAGGACATAGAGGTACATGCCGACCCGGCTCTTCTCTTTGCCTTTACTTGTCAGTACGTATAGCTGTGTATGGAGGCCACTCAGGAACACATAGAGCTTAAAGGAGTAACTCTCCCTCGGCTCGTCAGGCAGTCAACTCCACTGAAATCGTCGTGCGACGTTTCCTCTAGTTGCTCGTTTGTCTGTGCCAGTGCGGAGGTAGGTTCCCACAACTGGCCTTTTATGTGACGTGAGTGGAGTGGAAGCTGTTTCCCCAGGTGCAGTGGCAGCAGCAGGGACGGGCTGGCTGAAAGGTTAATTTCCAGCGTCTACGTTTTTGCTAAGGTGGTTTTATTTTTGTCGTCGGTGATGTATGTTTTTCAATTAAGCAGTACTATTACATGGCTCAAAAGCAACATGCATTTCTTCCTCTCCCCTGTCCTTCAGACACTCAGTGTTATCTCCCCTGTATGTCTTCCCAGAGAGGTTTTAAGCAAATCCTATATACTTTTCGGCTTCCTTTCCCCGTAAAGGGTAGCCCACTCTTTGTATTGCTCTGCATTTGCTTCAGAAAGGCTTTCCAAGCCAGCCCATGACTTGGTGACTAGATCCCACATGGTCAGCCGTGCGGTTCAGATTGCAGACCCAGCACTGGGGAAGCATGCCAGGCACGATGCCCAGAGTCCTGAAAGGACATGTGCTCCCGGCACTCGGGCCAGCGCAGCGTCTCGGCTGCTGAACTGCCCAGCCCTCCCCGGCTGGCTGCGGGCCATCCTCACCTGTGCCCCTCCCAGTGCGCTGGGGTCAGGCCATGAGGCCGGTGAGGTAGAGACCTATGTCTTGAGTCGTCCTCAGGAAAGAGAAACCTGCGGTCCTCGGGGTGAAGGGTGTGGGTGAGCCTTGTTGGGACAGCCGTGTGCTTTTCCCTACTGGTTACCTCTAGGCCGTTTACCTGAGCGTGAGCTCATGTTTGCCTCGTGGTAGATAAGCATGCAAGCAATAAAAAGTGTTCATAGAACCGTCTTAACCTTTCAGATTGGAGGTCGTTCTGACTTGCCAGTCCTTACTGAAATACTGTCGTTAAGAAATCCTTGTGCGGACGGTTCCTTAACAGAGAGACATGCTGTGTGAAGACCTGGCGCACGCCACCGAGCAGCTGAACATGCTCACAGAGGCCTCGAAGAAGCACTCAGGGCTGCTGCAGTCCGCCCAGGAGGAGCTGACGCAGAAGGAGGCCCTGATCCAGGAGCTTCAGCTCCAGGTGAGCCACCGGGGGAGGCTGCGGGGTGCTGGGGTAATGGGGCAGCTCCCTGTGAGCCATGGGAGGAGGCGGCCAGGGCCGGGGAGGCTGCGAGGTGCTGGGGTATTGGGGCAGCTCCCTGGGGGCGTAAACCTGGGGTCTTGGTGACTCGGGTCTGCTCGCCCGGATGCAGGCCAGCCTGACTGCCGCTCCACCTGCTGGGCCTTGACACCCACGGCCCTGTGGTGAGGCTGTGGCTGGCTATGTCATCTGCTCGCTGTTGGTTTGTTTGTTTTTTTGTATTTTTCTCATGACCCTTTTGTTACTTGTGAAACTCACAAGAAGGCAAGGAAAGTGTAAATAGATTTGGAAGAAGCGATGTTCGGGTCGTATTAGCGACCAAGTTGGACAGGCACAAAAGCTGCCCCAGAGTCTAGAACCGATGGCTTTTTATGTTTTTAGAAAGATTTTTACTATAGAGCGCATGCGCTCACTGGAGAGACAGACAGAAAGCGAGAAATCATCCCTATGGGGGATGGCCACGCCGCGATTTCTTCTCCGTTCTCTTGGAAGTTTGGGCATGCACACCCAAGTGCCTGGCATGAGTTTCAAGTTGCCAAGTCTGGGACTCAAACCACAGTAACTTCGTGGGTGTTCGGCAACGTAGCCATGACGCCACCTGCTACTCCCCAGAATTCATGCCTTTTTAAAATGTTGTGCAGGGCCAACAGGGTGTGCTTAGGGTATTGGAATCCCATGTGACTCACTGTGACTCACTGTAGTTTGAGTCCCAGACCTGGTAGCTTCCTTTCTCACTTTCCTCCCTCTCTCTTTCTCTAATCAAATTAAAATAATAATAATAAATACAATAAAATAATTCTTTTTAAAAATTGCTGTGGTGGGAACAGCAGTTGTGATAACTGTGTCGCTGGACTCCCATGTAGTTGACCGCGGTTCGAGTCCCAGACCCGGTGGCTTAAACTCACACCGGGCGTGTGTGCGTGCATGCCCAAGATCCCAAGAGCAGAATGGAGGAAAAGGGATTGCAGCGTGGCCATCCCCCCTGGGGGATGATTTCTCACTTTCTGTCTCTCTGTCTTTCTGGCAAGCACACGTGCTCTATGACAAAGCTCTCTCCAAAAATTAAAAAAAAATTTTAAAAATGCTGTAGTTTTGCTTAAATTTTTTAACTTAATATGATTCTGAAAATATAAAGAGCATATTTCTATATATCTTGAGAAGTTCATCTTTTTTGGCATAAGTAGCATTCTAAAAAAGATCTTTAAAGATAACTGATGTTATCAACAGATGACAGTTGTATGTATCTCTGGGTCCAGTGTGAGCCTTGATGTATGTACACACTGTGAGCCGACTAAGCCTCATACTTCTGTTTGTGGGAGAGTAAAACCCCCCATTGTTACTGAGTCACTGTGCTCTCAACATCTGCATTCTCCGATCTCACTGAGTCTCTGCCCTGTGACCAGTACCTGGCCTCCCTGCTCCCCACCACTGCCGGTCTCTGGTAAGCCGCGTTCCGGTTTGCTCCTGTGCGGTCCACACTCTTAGCTCCCGTTGAGAAATAAGATAACCCACGATTCGTGTCTGGCTTCTTTCTCGTACCACACTCCTCCAGATTTCTCCATGTTGTTGCAAACGGTGGGATCTGCTGCCTGTTTGGTTTTTTTTTTAAGAATTATTTATTGGAGGGACTAGCAGTTAGCATTATGGCTATGTCGCTGGACTCCCATGTAGTCGATCACAGTTCGAGTCCCAGACCCAGTGGCTTAAACTCACGCCAGGCGCGTGTGCGTGCGTGCCCAAGATCCCGAGAGGAAAATGGAGGAGAAGGGATTGCGGCATGGCCATCCCCCCGGCGGGTGTGATTTCTCGCTTTCTATCTCTCTGTCTTTCTCTGTCTTTCTGGCGAGCGCATGCGCCCTATAGTGAAAAAACTTCTCAATAAAAAAAAAAGAATTATTTATTTAATTTACTTTAATTTTTTGTTTATTGGAGAGGTTTTTGCTATAGGGTGTGTGCAAGAGAGACAGAAAGTGAGAAATCATCCCTCAGGGGCGATGGCCACGCCGCATTCCCTTCTCTCGGGATCTTGGGCACGCACACACCAACGTGAGTTTAAGCCACAGGTCTGGGACTCACACCACAGTTGGAGTCCGGTGACACAGCCATAACACCAACTGCTGGTCCCCTATTATTGTTATTCTTTGAACAGAGAGACACAGAGGGAGAGGGAAAGCGAGAAAGCAAGCTGCCAGGTCCAGGACTCGAACAGTGGTCGGCCACGTGGGAGTCCAGCGCCCCAACCCCAACACCACCTGCCGGCCCCAGAATCTGTGTGTTTTTGAAGGCCAGATTGTCTTTGTATGCACGCACCTTGTTTTCTTAGCGCTTACCTGCTGGCCGGTGCTCAGGCGGGGCCTGTACCCTGGCCATGGTGAGCAGCACAGCATTGAGCAGGCATGCAGGTGACTTCACACACCGAGGGTGGGTGCCCAGCAGCCAATGGCCGAGTGGGGAGGAGTCCCCATTTTAGTCCCTGCAGAACCTCTGTACTGTTTTCTGTTATAACCACATTAACTTACGTTCCCACCAACAGGGCACCGTGGTTTCTTTTTCTTTTCATTTTTGCCAACACTTTTTAATGACAGCCATTCTAACAGGTCTGAAGTGATATCTCGTTGTGATTTGAAAATGTTTATTTACCTTTTGTAAAGTTGATTCATTTATTTACTCCATGTGAGAGGCTGTGGGTGTCCTTGACAGGTGCTCCCAGCCTCCCAGCCTGCCAGGTCCACGTCCGTGCCGCTGGGTGCGCCAGGTGTTCAGGTCTGCCGGGAGCTCCCCGGGCCTCGTAGGACCAGCATCGCGCAGTGGCGCCCTCCTGCCTGCGCCTCGGTGGCTTTAGCTTGCGGGTCCCTGACGAGTCGGGGGAGCTCGTCTTTTCCGATCGGAGCCTGCCCGTGTTACCTCTGACCTCACGCCTGTTCGATTTCCCCAGCTGAACCAGAAGAAGGAGGAAGTCGAGCAGAAGAAGAACGAGTACAACTTGAAGATGAGGCAGCTGGAGCGCGTGATGGGCTCCGCGGCCGAGCACCCTCAGGTACTGTCGGGAGTGAGGGCTGGGGCTCGCAGAACCTACAAACGGCCGAGCATAGCTTTGTCTTTTTAAAGACGGATTTCTCCAGCACCCTCTGCTTCCTCCCTGCTAAAGGTACCAGCTGCCATCCGTCTTACTTGGACGAGGCTAGACTCACAGAGCAGGCCGGGTACTGTCTGTGTGCTTGGCGCATACATTGAAGGTATTCGGATAAGATGTCGTTTCCTTCCAGAGCCCTAGAACACCGCCTCACCTTCAGACACATTTGGCAAAACTCTTGGAAACACAAGAGCAGGAGATCGAGGACGGAAGAGCCTCCAAGACGTCTTTGCAGCACCTCGTCACGAAGCTCAATGAAGACAGGGAGCTCAGGCACGCCGAGATCCTCAGGATGAAGGTAAGTACTGAGTCCTGGTTGAGTTTAAATTTCACACGGCTACTGAGAACACAGCATTCAGAAGGCAGAGAGCTCAAGGGCTCACAGAGGAAAGTCTTTGGGCCCCGTCCGCCCTGTCTGTGGCCCCTGGAGGCTCCCCAGGTGGCCGCGTCGCCGTTGTTGGTGAGCTTTCGGTGTATGTGTGACTGCAGGCATGGAAGCACATTGGCGGTGTGTGCACATGTGCACCCATGCAAAATCTTGAAAGGAGGGAGACGGGGGAGGGGTGGTGGCAGGACCACGCCCTGGGGGGTCCTTTCCTGCTTTCTCACTCTCTCCAGCAAGCACACGTGCCTTCTTGCAAATTAATATATAAATAAGTAAATAAAGTAGGAGGAATTGTAGTGAATTACGTGGTATCAGTAAGAAACTTCACCACACTGTGGGCGTGACTGTGACACACAGTTCTCCGCCTTTGAGAGCTTGTAACAGTCTATTTCTTGTCCAGCAACACCCAGCCCAGAGTTCTGTTCCTAGGAGGAGATCTAAAGATGAACACCTGTGTCAGGCCTTGGAGAGCAAGATAGCCTACCGTTGTGTGTTTTCTGAAGAGACGTGATTCGGTGTGTTTTCAGGAACAGCTGTGTGAGATGGAAAACCTGCGCCTGGAGCTGCAGCAGTTGAGAGAGAAAAATTGGGTCCTGCAGAGTCAGCTGGATGGCATCCAAGGGCACGAGGCCAGCAGGTGAGAAAGCCCAGGAGCGCAGGGCGATGCCGCCTGCCCACCTGGGCTCCACGGGGGAACTGCTTCTCGGGTGTGGGACTAGGACCGCAGTGCGCTCAACCTCAGCCACCTGGTCTTTTTTAACAAACTAATGAGGCCAGTGAGTGGCACAGTGGTTAAAGTGCCAGACTCCCACGTGGCCGACCAGTTTAAGTTCCAGACCGGGGGACTTGAAAAGTCATGGTGCCAGCGTGTGCCCACAGTCCTGGAAGGAAATGGACCAGAAGGAGCTGCAGCATGGCCTTCCTCCCCAGGGAGTGAATTCTCTCTCTCCCTCTCTATCTAGCAAGCGCACGTATCTTATGGCAAAAAAAAAAAAAAAAGAGAAGAAGAAAACCTTAAAAATATGTAAACTACATCTGTCGCAGCTCATGTGCCTTGTACAAGGAGCAGAGAACCTTCTTTATGAAAAGCTGAGAGGGGGCAGACGACAGCAGGGCCAGGCCCGCCAGCAGCCCATTAGGAGATAAGGTTTGATGGTGTCGATCCTGCCTTCTCGTTTCAACGTCGCTACGGGCCCCCTTCCACTCTGTAGCAGCTAGCTGAGCAGCTGCGAAAGCGACCACAGGGCGCCCAAAGCCCAGAGCAGCTTCTGTTTGACTTTTTTTTTTTTTTTTTTTTTTGAGAGGTTTTTGCTATAGGGCATGTGCGCTCTCCAGACAGACAGAGACAGAGAGGCAGAGAGCGAGAAATCACCCCCCAGGGGGGGTGGCCATGCCACAGTCCCTTCTCCATTCTCCTCTCGGGATCTTGGGCACGCACACACACACGCCTGGCATGAGTTTAAGTTACCGGGTCTGGGACTCGAACCGTGGTTGACTACATGGGAGTCCAACAACATAGCCATTATGCCAACTGCTGATCCCAGCTGCTGTTTGATTCTTGACAGGAGACGCCTCTACCCCACAGCGTCTGGGCCGTTTTCCTCACTTAGGTCTCATTACCATTTTGTCTAGGCTGCCAGGTTCATTAAGGAAAAGAAACCTTACTGTTGCTTCTGTTTTCCTTCAAGAAATGGCCTTGTACTCACCAATGACAGAGAGATTCCTAGAGAAGCCCACAGCATTCAGGCAGGTGCTCCGCGGGCCTGCTGACTGGTCAGCTCACAGGGCGGCCGGTCCACAGTAGCCTTGTCCCACTCCATGCAGAAGGGCCTTCCTCCATGCAGAGGCCTCTGCCATCTGCACACGTGGGGGCCAGCATGCTCATCTGAAGGTGCAGCTGACCGTGGAGAGAGCAGGGGAGGTCGGAGGGGTATGTGGGCCAGGCCAGCCTGAGGCCAGGCGGCCCTCCTCCCCACTGCCCTCCCACCCCCGCCCGCTCATGACACTCATCCCACTCCTGGTCTTCAGATGGGCCCACTCAGCTAAATGTTGTTGCTTCCCACCACACATGACTGCCTCCTTCGTCCCCTGCTCACCTGTGGGGGGTCCTGACTTCTAGGGAGTGACCTTGTTGCCTGACGGTCGGTCTTGTGTGCCAGCTGCTGGCTCGGCCCAGTCAGCAGTGTGCTCTGCACGGCTTGGCTGTGTTGGCATCACAGACTGGAAGCTGCTGCTAGAACACACCTGGCAGTGTCCCACCGTCTCCCTCTCTTAACCCATGCAGCGATCAGAGTCACCCAGACCATCAACGGCTGAAGAGTGAACAAGAGGCGGACAGCGAAAGACTTGCCCAAGTACGGCTTTTCTAGAAAGCATTGTCGTCCCCCCTCGTCTGAGAGGTGCTTCCATAGTACCTCCCTGGCCATGCCATTCAGAAGCTGTTTGCTGCTGGGCTCCCTGCCCGCTCGGCATCCCCACTGTGAGCATGACGTCCATCGTTGTGCTTAGGCGGAGCTGAGCTTAGAGAGGGAGTCTGTCTCGGGCCTAGGTGGCGTGGCCACGCACGGGTCTCCACGTGGAAGTGAGCGTCGAGGCCCGTCTGAGGCCTTACAGGCACTCGGCGTGAAGTCTTGCAGATAGGAGCTCCTCTGTGTGTGAAGCTGGGGCTGTGGACAGACATTCCCGTTTAATTGATTTTACTAACCAGAGAGTGGACTGGGTCCTTCGATCTGCTTTTAGCAGTGAGTGGGCTGGGTCCTTCGATCTGCTTTTAGTAGTGTTACTTAAGAACCTAAGCTATCTTTTTTTTTTTTTTTTTTTTTTTTTATCTTTTTATAGAGTAAAATAGTCGAAGAAATGATGAAAATGAAAACAGAGTAAGTGTACTAGTTTGTAACTCAGATTCTTGGTAATCTTTTCTTCCTATCCCGCTGAAAGGGAGAAATTCGCATTTCCCAAGGTGAGTGCCATTGTTCCCAGCAGGCAGTGTGAACCAGGTATTTTCCTCGGGCCCTTCCCCTCACATGACGCCACTCCAAAACCCCGCACGCACGAACGGTGCCAGGCAGGGCCGGCCTCCCCTGGAGGGGGTGTAACTGACCACACACTGAGCCACTGTGCATGTGCCCCAGTTCCCTCCAACGTCAGACGCGAGCCCCTCAGCCCGTAGATGGATACGCTGTGTCTCCTGGTCTTAACCTTGGGTATCTTTGTATGATTTTGTAGCCACGACTTTAATTATTGCTGTAGTTGTCATGTTAATTTAGGTCTCCTTGAATTGCCTCATTCTTTGATGAATAAGGTACCCTATATTTTCTGTCATATTCAGAATAAGGAAGCGGTCAGTATTAATGAAGCAGTAGACCACTAGAGCAGCCGTGGACTCTGAGTACGCCCCATCGGAAGCAGAGTCCGCAGACACACTCTGCGTGTTCTGCCTCCTCAAAGCGTTTAGGTACTCTTTGTGCCGGCTTGCATTTTTTTAAAAGAATTATTTTATTTAACTTTATTTATTAATTTATTTTAATTTGACCAGAGAGGGACAGAGCAAAGTGGGGGGAGAGTGAGAAAGCAGCCACTCAGGTCCCGGACTCAACTATGGTCGGCCACGTGGGAGTCCAGCGCCTTAACTACCACGCCCCCTGCCAGCTCCACTTTTTTTTTTTAAAAGGATTGTTATTCCATTTTATTTATCCATTCATTTTATTTTAATTTGACCAGAGAGAGAGAGAAAGTGAAAAAGCAAGCCACCAGGTCCATGACCTGAACCGTGGTCAGCCATGTGGGAATGTCCAGTGCCTTAACCACCACGCCACCTGCTGGTCCCCTTAAGAGATTTTTGGTATAGGGCCTATGCATTTGCCAGAGAGTCAGCAAGAAATCACCCCCCAGGGGTATGGCCACTCCATAATCCCTTCTCCTCCTGAGATCGTGGGCAGGCAAGCACACATACTCAGTGTGAGTATAAGGCACCAGGCCCAGGATTTGAACCACCGTCAGGGAGTCCAGCAGTGTAACCATTATGTCATCTGCTGGTCTCGCCCCCTTTCATTTTTTTTTTTATAGGGCTCGTGCGCTTGCCAGAGAGACAGAGAGACAGAAAGCGAGAAATCACCCCCCAGGGGGGATGGCCACACCACAGTCCCTTCTCCTCCATTCTCCTCTCGGGATCTTGGGCACGCACACACATGCACCCAGTGTGAGTTTAAGCCACCGGGTCTGAGACTCGAACCACGGTCAACTACATGGGAGTTCAGTGTCATAGCCATTACGCTAACTGCTGGTCCCCCTCTTGCATATTTTTGAAGACAACTTAATGTTCAAAATTTTTTTTTCTAGTTGAAACTGTTACAAAGGACAGACCATCAAACTGAAAAGTGATACTTAAAAAAAAATAAAGTTTGGATATTCTTGTAAAAGTATCCAACTAATTTGCTACCTTCTAACTATTTTTAAAATACTTGAAGTGGGCCAGCAGGCAGCGTGGTTGCAGCTTGCTCTCTCCTTCTCTATCCCTCTTTCTCTTTCTCTCTCTCTGGTGAGTGCATATGTCCTGTAGCAAATTGAAAATAATAATAGTAATAATTAATAAAAATAATTAAATAATTTTCTTTTATAAAATACATTGGAGTCGGCAGGTGGCATAATCGTTAAGGTGCTAGACCACCGCATGGCTGACGGTGGTTTGAATTCCAGACCTGGTAGCTTGCTTTCTCACTTTACTTCTCTCTCAGTCTTCTGTAGTCAAATTAAAATATAATAATAGGGGCCAGCAGGTGGCATGACAGTTAGGGCGCTGGACTCCCACATAACTGACATGCAGTTCGAGTCCCAGACCTGGCGGCTTGCTTTCTCATTTTTCTTCACTGTGTCTGGTGAGTACAGAGCCCCTCTTTGTTTAGCAAACTTTAAAAAACATAATAAATAGAATCAAATAAATAATGTTTAAAATAAATAAAATTAAAGAATTCCTAAGCCTCCTACATGACATCATTGCTTTTCCCTTTGAAACAGTTTCCCTCCCAGCCCTGGAGAATTCTGTCTTAATTTAATATAGCTCTGTGGATAAAGTTCTGTTGATTACCCTGTCATACTCCTTAACAAAGAAAATCCATATACCAATAGGATGGAATCTGGAGATTTTAAAAAAGGTTTATTTATTTAATGTTATTTATCTATTCATTTATTTTAATTTGACCAGAGAGAGAGAGAGAGAGAGAGAAAAGGCAAGCCACCAGGTCCAAGACTCAAACCATGGTGGGCCACATGGGAGTGTCCAGCACCTTAGCCACCACACCACCTACTGGTCCCCATGAAGTTTTTTTTTTTTTTTTTTTTAAGAATTATTTAATTTTACTTTATTCATTCATTTATTTTTTAATTTGACCAGAGAGAGACAGAGAGAAAGACAAAGTGAGAAACCAAGCTACCAGGTCTAGGACAAGAACCGTGGTCAGCCATGTGGGAGTGTTCAGTACCTTAACCACCATACCACCTGCTGGCCCCCATGAAGATTTGTCTTAATCACGTATCTCTACATGTTATATTTCTTCCCAATTAAGTTCTCGTTGCAATGATTATTAATTGAAGTTTCCTATTTTTTTAAATAGGGGCCAGCAGTTGGCGTAATGGCTATGTTGCTGGACTCCCACGTAGTCGAATGCAGTTCAAGTCCCGGACCCGGTGGCTTAAACTCACGCTGGGCCACATGTGCATGTGTGCCCAAGATCCCGAGAGGAGAATGGAGGAGAAGGGATTGTGGCGTGGCTAATCCCCTAGGGGGTGATTTCTCGTTTTCTGTCTCTCTGTCCCTGTCTTTCTGGCGAGCGCATATGCCCTACAGCAAAAACCAATCAAAAAAATTTTTCTTTTTTAAATGATGATGATGATGATGATAGTGGCATGAAGTTTTTTCCAAGATGAAGGTCTTGGGTAAAACAAACCAAAAGCCTGTCTGGTACACAGCACTGGCTTGGCTGTCTGCAGGAGACCTTCTTTCTAATCAAATTCTGGGTGTGGGTAAGAATGTGCACCCTGGGTGCTGTTTTGTGTGGTGTGCCTTCAGGGTATGCAAAGTGACATTCATCCTGGCAGGCTGGGCGCAGTCCACAGTGCCCTTCACAGCAGAGAGACAGACTGCCTGAGGATGGCCGAAGAGGTGGGACGGATCAGAGCCCTGGAGGCCAAAGCCTTCCAGGAGAAGGAATTGCTGAGGTCGAAGCTTGAAGAGATGTACGAGGAAAAGGAGAGGACACTCCAGGTACGCTGGCACACTGGGGTGTGGGGGCCTTGGGGCACCTGGGTGAGAGCCCGTCTGGTGGGTGACCTTGGCTCACACTGGGGCCTGGGGCTCGGGACACCTGGGGGACAGCCCGTCTGTGGTGGGTGACCTGGCTCAGAGCTGTGCTAGTGTACCCGGAGGTGTGGTTGGGAAGCTGGGGTTCTGGACCCACTCACGTCCTGTGCTCTTGGGAGGCAGGAAAGATTGCGAGTGTAGAAGAATTAAGAGCCGTTTTCCTCTCTCCGTCTGTGGACTGGTCTCCCTGCAGGAGATGGACATGTTAAGGAAGCAGGTGGAATGTCTCGCCGAGGAGAACGGCAAGCTGGTGGGCCACCAGAACATGCACCAGAAGATTCAGTACGTGGTGCGGCTCAAGAAGGAGAGTGTCAGGCTCGCCGAGGTAAGCTCTGGGGGCTGCTCAAATAATCACATTCTGCCTTAAAAATTCTTCTTTCACTAAAAACAGATGTCACTGGGGCCAGCAGATGGCGTGGTGGTTAAGGCCCTGGACTCCCGCATGGCTGACCGTCCAGGACCTGGCAGCTTGTCCCACTTTCCCTCTCTCTCTCTCTCATTCTGTCCCTCTCTGGTCAAATTCAAGTAAATAAATACATAAAGTTAAATAAAATAATTCTCTTTTAAAAAAGTAACATAACATTCTGTGATGCTGGACCCACATGGGAATGTCAAGGGTTCACATCCCGAGACCTCTCCGAGCACTCCGGCATGCATATGCTCATGTCCCAGGCTGCCTGGGGTAGATCGTGCCATGAGGACCCTGTTAGGGCTGCTTTTCTCTCTCTCAAACAAACAAACGAAATAAGCTTTCAAAAATTGTTTTGGTTTTTGTGCTTTCAGGCATAATTAATTCAGTTAAATTCACCTATATGTCAGATTCTCGTTTAATGTCAAGTAGTTTACATATGAAATATTCTAGTCTTGGGCCAACAGGTTGCATGGTAGTTAAGGTGCTGGATCCCACCTGGCTGTCTCCTCGGTTCAAATCCTGGATGGCTTGAAAATCATGCTGGGTGTTTGTGCCCACAGTCCCTAGAAAAGACGGGAAGAGAAGGGACTGTGCGTAGCCATCCCCTCTGAGGAGTGATTTCTTACTCACCATGTACCCTGGTCTCTCTTGTACACCCCCACAGCAGAAACAAGCAAACAAAAAAATAAACTGAGAACTAGTCTTAAATTGAAATACATACTTAACAAATGCCATGAAAAATAACTTTCTGGGCGCCAGCAGGCCGGCACTGGACTCCCACGTGGCTGACCACAGTTGGAGTCCTGGACCTTGCAACTTGCTTTCTTCTTCTCTCTCTCTCTCTCTGTCTCTCTGTCCCTCTCTGATCAAATCTTTAAAAAATAAATAACGTTAAATAAAATAATTTTTTAAAAAATAACTTTCTGTAAGAATTAAAGCCTTAATTTTTTTTTCCCTTTCTTTTTTATTTTTTCAATACCAGGAAAATGAAAAGTTGCGGGTTGAAAATCTGTTTTTAAAAGAAAAGAAAAAGAATGAACCGTAAGGATCCGGGTCTGCTACCTGGGCATCATCAGGCCTGGAGATGTTTCTGTTGTGAAGAGAGACCTACCCTGAGCTCTTAGTCTAGCCGCGCTCGGGCGGGCCTGCAGGTCCACATGCGGCAGTGGCTGGCCATCCCACATCGCGAGCAGGAAATGCTCCCACACGTCCCTGTGTCAGCCAGCACTCTGCTGGGAGGGGGCCGCTACCTGTTTCAAGGCTTCAAGTCGCTTTAAATACTGGGGGAAAGTTCGCATTTTAAAAATAAAACCTTTAGGAAGCTTAGCTAAAACCTCGAGCTAAGTAGATGTGGTCAGGTCATTTTCTCCTAGAGCCGTACCTCCCTAGAGTCCTGCAGAAATTCTCGTAGCACGTGGTGCTTTCAGAGCGCGCTGCAAGTCGGATGGCCGATTCTGCGGCATGTCTGAGAAGCAGCTTCGTTAATATAGATTATTTTTGTATTCTGTTTTCTCACAGATATTTCTATGACTGTAAATATGGCCATTTTTCAAATAAAATGTTTAAAAATAATGAACAGTTTAACAAAGTGATTTACATTGATTTATTCTCTTGTCCTTTCTACAAACTTTTCTTTTTAGAGAGATTTTTGTTGTAGGTCACGTGTGCTTGCCAGAGAGGTTGAAAGCGAGAAATCACCCCAAGGGACTGGCCAGGCCACAATCCTTTCTCCTCCATTCTCCTCTCGGGATTTCAGGCATGCGCGCACATGTGCCCACCATGAGGTTTACACTGCCAGGTCCAGGACTCAAACCAGTCGACTATGTGGGAGTCCAGCGACATAACCATTACGCCACCTGTGGGTCCCTCTTTCTACATACATTTAATGAGCACCAATACTTCCCTAGGCACAGGTTGTCCATGAACAAACTGTGGTCCACCACGTGGGATCCAGCTTTCCACACACAGCGCTGACCTGCTACACGACCAGCTGCCCCTGAGACAGATAAACTTACAGAAAACGGAGTGCAGGGTCTCGTCTCAGGCACCCTGGGACAGGGCCTGGCCCAGAGTAGGTGCCATGTGTTTAACTGCAGAAAAGGAACAGGCAGAGGAATGGATGGGGGGAAAGAGAGAAGACAGACAGACTGAGGTGAGGCTCCAGAGGGTGGACAAAGACAACTTGCCTCCTAGGTCCACAGGCCCTATGCGTCCCTGCAGCCTCACCCCGGGGTCTCAGGCTTTAAATCCTCTCCTCTGTCCCTGAGGCTCTTCTAGGCCTTACAGGTGAGGGTGTTTGGAAGGGCCTCAACACCCTGGGTCATCGTGTTCAGACACTATAAGAGTTATTTTTAGGAATTTTTTTTTTGAAGTTTTTGCTATAGGGCATGTGTGCTTGCCAGAAGGACAGAGACAGAAAGCGAGAAATCGTCCTGCAGGGGGGATGGCACTGCCGCAGTCCCCTCGCCTCCATTCTCCTCTCGGGATCTTGGGCACACATGCCTGGCATGAGTTTAAGCCAGTGGGTTCGGGACTCGAACCGCAGTTGACTACATGGGAGTCCAGTGACAAGTCCATTATTCCAACTGCTGATCCCTTTTATCTATTTATCTGTTGTGATTTTCAAGCTGCCAGGTCTGGGACTCAAAACTGGCCCGCCACATGGGATTCCACACCACCTGCTGGCCCAGTTTTCTTGGACTTACAGATGGATGCAGGGTGAGCTCCATTTTCCTCTGCACTGTTCCCAGTTCTGGCAGCTCTAGCTTGTTAGTATGTTGGGGTTTCATTTTATTTTTCGTAGTGACCGTACTCTGAATAATCAAACGTCTGCAGCATGGACAAGGGCTGCTTCCTGAGGTGGACCTGGCAGAAGCGAAGAAGGTGGTCTGTGGCTCCCACCTGCAGAGGCCGGTCCCAGGACCCCCGGGTGCACTCAGCTCGCTGCTGCTCTGTGAATGAGCAAGATGCCATGGAGGGAGGCCGGGAAAACTTCCTGAGGGCCAGAAACTGCTGCAGTGTGTTCCCCAGGGTTGTTTTGTTCCCAAACTCTGTCGTACAGTTTCTCTCAGCGCTCACACTACCCACAGCCACACACGCATGCAGAGAATGGACTCCGGCCAGCAATGCCCCTGGAGCGTGCAAGTCACACTCCCTACTCAGCAGCACAGTGATTTTCAAGGAGATGGACTTACTGATTTTGCCGGAAGGTGGGTGCACTTACCTGAGACATAAACTCAGAGAGAAAGGGACGGAGTGCACCCCCTTCCAGAGGGCCAGGGTCTTTCTACAAACCCTCCTCCCAATTCTCCGTCTTGTCTGAATTTTAGGCACAAATTCCTAGCAGTTTTTCTTTTCTTTTTTCTTTAGAGTGAGATTTTTTGCTATAGGGCATGTGCACTCACCAAAGAGACAGAGACAGAAAGCAAGAAATCACCCCCCAGGGGGATCGGGACTCAACCACAGGCAGCTATGTGGGAGTCCAGCAGTGTAAACATTAAGTCATCTGCTGGCTCCTCCTAGCAGGCTTTCAAGCCCAGGCTGGGCTCACTCTAGTTGGTCACGTGGGATCTGGCTCCCTACCACCAGACCACAGGGCTAGACCCAAAATGAACTTTTCAAGTGAAAACACTTCAAACATATAAGTGCGCTGGGATTGTAAGATACGTGAATCTTGGCTGTTTCGGGTGGTGGTTACGGATCATTTGTTTCCATCTCTTATCCGTACTTCCCGATTTCTGCAGTTAGTGTGTACCCATCCTAGGAGTCGGACTAGGCAGGAGCCCGGGCTCCTTTCCCATCTGGAGGTCCCCAGCTCCCTCTGCAGAGCACCTCCATTCCAGGCACACCCACCCTGGCCTCACTCTGCGGGTTGCAGGTCAGCTGCACTCAACTGGGAGGAGCAAGTGGCTTTGCGGGAGGAGGCCTGTGCCCTCCCTGCAGGGCCACAGTACTAAGCAGGAGCGGGGAGAGCGCACCCGCAGCAGGGCCGGCGACACTCTGATCCTGTCCTCCGACTCTCCACCCTGTTGGGACTTGGACGCCCACGCCGGCCGGGACTCGAACCAGGTCGCCACGTGGCAGCAGCCTGGTCTGCACACAACTTAGCGGCCGCGACGCGACGCCCGGATTGGGGATCTTTAACTCAGTCCAGGGAAACCGACGCCGACCACGCTGAGCGGCCAGCGCTGCAGCTGCCCGGCCGCGCGTACCCGACTCCTCCGGCGTGTCCGCAGCTCGGGCTCGGCCCCGGCCCCGGCGTCGCCCCAGGGTCCCTGGCCCGGACAACCTAACCCAGCGCGGAGCGCCGCAGCCAGGGAGCCTGCGGGTTGCGTCCCGG